AGACCTTTTTGGAGATTTAAAAAAAAATGAAGTTCATAAAACCGATCAGAGAGAGCGATAAGATGACAGAAGTAGATAATTGTGTTAAGCTGTTTCGGTCAATTCTGTTATGCAGCAGTCCTACTGAGAAATAAGAGTTTCTGATTTGTATCATATAATCCGGCTACTCCAGCGTAATAATTTGTATAAAAATGTTCATACATGTACAGGACTATGTCATCCAACACTGTTATTTAAGTGGTTCAAAGCGAAGAGGTAACCAAAAACCGACAATTTTGGTTAAAAATTCAATTAGAGAAGCAATAAAAATTTGGCAGCTATGACAATGAAACAACAGCTGATCAAAGAAGTATCATTACAATTGTGTGGTGCAAAGATGGCCAAATGAAATGGATGAGAAGTTCAAGAAAGCCGAATGAGTGAATGAATGAGAAAGAGGGAGTATAGCAAAAACGCTATCGATGATGCCAACTGAAGCACATGAGTAAAACATCGTTGAAGTGTTCACGATTAAAAGAAATATGACGAGAAACGATGTATCGTTGAACAAAATACGCCGTCAGGCTCATGAGTAAGAGCAATAACAACCGTTTTATGAAAGTTCATTTTCATTCCTGTAACACTTCATCGATAGCTCTAGCTCCTCGAAGTGCAACTGCCTTCACACACAGCGAATTGGTTCTGAATGCCTAAATCCTCTTGTAAGCTCCCAAGAGAGCTTTACAGTTTGGACAGATGTGATCAACATCCTGCAATAACGAAATGTGAACTTGCATCAATCTTTACACAACAAACTCCGTTTAATTTTAACTATCTTAATTAATTTTTATACCACAATCGTCGTACTGACAAGGTCCAATTATGGTAACGGTAAGAAATGTATATAACTTAACGGACCGAAACATTTCTTACCAATTTATAAAATTATTAATATTTTTTCCCCTTTCTTTTGTGTTTACACATTACTGTCTCTTTTAAAAACAAAACAAAAAGAATGAAAGTCTGTTCTGTATTCGCTTTCTGTATAAAGCGGAGGCATTCGGGAAGAAGTCCGGCTAGTTGCAAATACCAACAGCCTGCCTCTTCAGATGGTTGCTTACGAGCAGGCGGATGAGGAGTTTGATCCTCCGGCACATCTCAAGACCACTTTATCACTGAATTGAGTGAACAAGAATCGCTGAGGGATTTAACTTTTCCACCGACGGTGCTGAGCCTGGATCAAAACCCCACATAATACGAATCGGATAAGTCAGAGTGGCCGCGGGAAGGTCGATCGACAGATGGCTAAAATCTTCTAAAGTATTCCCTTCTTTTCTTCACTTTTACATCAGCCTAACTTTGTTTCAGCGACAACAGTTGTTACGAAGAATTTTTTCGTTCAAACATGCAAAAGAAATCAGACAAAAACCATCTTTTTTTTTGCCCGTCCGATAGTCGCAACACATTTCTCATTATCTTCTTGGCCGGC